TTGGCCGTCTTGGATAATGATTAAGGTTTCTTTGTATTCACTTTCCAAGTTCCTACAGCTGAAGATACGGTCAATAATCATTGGTTACTGACCTATGAGTATTTAAATCTGTACCTTTAGATTTAAGTGAGCCCAAAAAATCCAGATCTAAGAGTTGTGAATTATAGGAATTTTATTTTCACTAGTTTTCTTAATCTGCTTTTATCTTCTTCGTTCTAACTCAGAATTCTTTTTTTTTTTTGGATAGATGGAATGAGTTCATTGTTCTCTACAAAATAAGACCAATTTTCAATATTTTTTGAGAATTTATTTTTCATACCTCCCGTTACCAACTCCATACCATATGGTAACTTCGTTGTTTTTAAGTCATTTTTAAAATATTTGCTAAGAAGGAACGAGTTCATAATGATCTATTGGTTCTCCAAATTTTTAGGGGAAAAAATACAGGACAAAAAATTACCATACTTTACCACTCTGGTATGGGGGTGGACAGTAACTTGTGGTAATTGGTGATAAACAATGATGAAAGTCGTAAATGACAGTTAGTGTACTCCTACTATCATATATTCAACCATCCTACAGCATTGGTATGTTCATACCATCATGGTATGCATTTTTACCATATGGTATGCTCCTATTGAGGGGGGTTTTCCTCTCTAATCTAGGTTAAGTGGCTAATTAGATTGCGAAGCATCAACATGCACAACCCTTAGATTGCTAAGCACAAACATGCACAATCCTTAGATTGCTAAGCACACATATGCACAATCCTTAAGTTGCTAAGCACAAACATGCACAATCGACATGAATAATACCTCAATCATTGAATTAAACAACATCCATAAACAATCATTCAATTCACATAAAGAAAACCACATGGTAGCTAGTTAGGGTTTCACAACACCCAAGTGAAAAAGGAATCTACTCCATGCTAGAAATGGGAGAAACACAAGGGGAAGAGGTAGAAACCATCATGAAGGAGGCTTCTAATCTTCTTGGCACTTGTGTTGAACTTCTCCTGGGGAGAATCTTCCCAAATCCACTCGTGAAGCAAAACCCTAGCCTCCTTCTCCTTTGGTTCATCTTTCTCCCTCTAAAATTAGAAGAAGTCTTTCTCACTCAAGGGAATCTCCTAATCTCTCACTAGAATCCTCTTTATTCTGAAAAAATGAAAACCTAACCAAAAAATGAAGCTCCCTTTTCTCCTTCAGCTCCCCTCTCCTTTTATAGGGAACGGATCAGGTCAGTAACCTTATGGTGAGTAACCATGAGTAACCCGTCCACATCAGCATGACATCAGCATACTCTCTCTCCTAGAAAGCCTTTGATTTTCCCTTCCTTAATCTTTGACGGACGATTTCTCACTCGTTTTAAGCCGAAACTTTTTTTTTTTGCACAGTTACATTAGATTAATTGTGCTCTTCAAAATGATATCCAATTTGATATATTTTCCGATAAAAAAATGAGCCATTTTTTTACCAGTCTATACCATATGGTATTGACTAGTATTGAAATAAGAGCATACCTATGGTTTGAAAAGCGTACCATGGTGGTATGACACAAACCAAATATGTAGGATGGTTGAATACATGATAGTAGAAGTATATTAAATATCATTTACGACTTTTAACATTGTATACCATAAGATACCACCCCGTACCAGGGTGGTATTGTGTGGTATTTTTTGGTCCTGTAATTTGTTCACCAAAAATTTGTAGATCCAATAGATCATGATGAACTCGTCTCTGCTGTGCAAACGTTTTCAAAAACGAATTAAAAACGAAGAAGATACCATATGGTATGCAGTTGGTACCGAGAGGTCAGAATTTTTTTCTCTCAATAAATATTGAAAATTGATCTCATTTTGTAGAGCACGATGAACTCGTTCCATCTGTGCGAAAAAATTAAAATCCGAGCTAAAACGAAAAAGATATGAGTCAATCAAGAAAACTAGGGAAAATAAAAATGGTCTTTAATTCTCCATCCTTAGATCTGGTATTTCTAAATGAAGGGTTCAGATTTGGTTATTGATGGGTGCATAACCTATGGTTATGCACCCTATCTTGAGCCCCTTTTATACCCAAATCAGGCTCAGTTCAAGGTCTTAGAGCTGAGTTTAAGGACGCGTTGAGCATTTCACGGTCTTAGACATCAGTCCACGGGCGTGAACATTGAAACGCGTCCGTTAACTCATTGTTGTGACCAAAACGCACCGCTTCACATCCACGGTCCACGGTTTTTGCTTAGAGTTCACGATCTTAGCAACCATGAACTCACTCGGCGTGAGTAATCTCTAGATTCGCCCTGGACGCTTCGCGGTTCACGAATTTTGGCTACAGTTCACGGTACTGTAAAACTGTGAACTCCAATGGCAGACCTTGGACACAGGTTCTTTCCTCCTCTTTGCTCCTTTTCTTCCAACATTCGACTCCGGGGCTGGGTTCAGCGGTTAGATCCTGAAACACGCTAAAACACAAGAAACCTAGCGTAAAACCACCCTTTTAGGAGCGCAATTTCCACAAACGCCTAAGGAAAACGGGGGTAAAACATGTACAATTAAGCACAAATCAGTTACGTATGAATGTGTTTATCTAGTTGATTTGAATGATATTCTAGCTTTGATTGTGTTTTGGTAAGTTTCCATAATCTCCAATACTAGCCTACTTTACGCTTCTACGCTGGGTTTGGAGTTTTGGAGTCAAAAGGGTATGCGCCATCAAGCAAATTGAGGTTAGATGTATGAATAGGGATAGCCTAGATGGAGGTGACTTATATGGGTTTAGGGGAGGCGTACTCGGAGGCGTGTGGATAACCATGAAAGCCCACAAAAAAGAGATCACTCGCGGCATTCCCTTAACCCTACATGACAACCATAGCTAGGAGGATTCGACCCTAGGAAACCGTCTCATCTCTTGCGACCTTTCAACCACTAGGTTGGTTGTTCATTTTGCCTTTAGGAGTAGATTAGATTAGACTCTTCACCAAACTTCCGATTCGATTAGATAGTAGTTCAGAGCGAAGTAATAGTAAGCTTCATGATCTCTTGGAATAAAACCGAGCCACTTTACTACAACCCTAGCTAGGTTATGCTTGTTTTAGTTAGGTTTGAATAGAGAGTGTGCTTCGACTTGATAAATTTAAAGCTCGATCGCGCAAGCGATCAGATACAAAGGATGCACTTACGAAGATGGTGTTGGATAGGAAATGGGAGCGCTTGAAAATTGCACACACAAAGAAGGGCAAGGAAGTAACAACAATGTTAAATGCAACATTTTAGATAGGTGTAAACCTTTGTTTTAGGGTTTTTGAACAATTGGTAAAAGTTATTCGTTTGGTTGATGGTAATGTGAAACCATCTATGGGGGTTTCTTTACTGAATGGCTAAATGTCGCCCTAAGAATTGCTAAACTTCGTCCTAACTTAAATATCAAATTATCTATATACCCTTAATGAAAATTGAAAAATTGCAACAACCAAACAACCCTTTCACCCTCATTCCCAGCGGGACTCTTCCCTCTTCCCTTCCACCCTCTGCAACTCCTTCCCGCCGTCGACAACCCCCTCCCCCTCTGCAACTCCTTCCCGCCGGCCTCCTGCTACCGTCGTCTCGCTCCCGTCGCCGGCCTGCTCCCGTTGCCGCCGTCTCGCTCCCGTCGCGCGCTGTTACCGTTGCCGGAGAAGAAGGCCGTCGCGCGCTGTTCCCGTCACCGGAGAAGAAGGTCGTCGCTCCAGCCTCGCCGCCATCCTTGCCCGCGCCAGCCTCGCCGGAGAAGAAGGTGAGACCTCAGTCAAACCGCGGTTTGACCAACGCTGACCGCAGTCAACGCGCGGTTGGACCGACGGTCAACCACAGTCAACGTGCACGTTTGACCGCTTTTTTTATATTATGTTTTTTTTATATCCTGTGTTTTTATTATTCAAAAAATGTTAATAATAATAAAAATGATTAAAAAAATATACTTAATAAAAATAATTTAGTTATATATTTTGTCAATAATGATATAAAAATTTTAAAAACGTATTCGATAAATGTTAATTAATGATAAAAAATTTAGAACATTATTAAAAAATTAAAAATGTATTTTATCATTTTAATAATCAAAATTTCATATTAATTCGTTTATCTACTTAATTATTAATAATTTTACTTTGATTAATTATTTAATTTTATGTAAATAATGATTACATAAAACGTAACATAAATGATCAAACTAATAGTTTTATAATTTTAATTATGAAAATCTTAAATTAATTACATTATGCACTCCATTATTAATAATCCATTATTAATAATGGATGTCTGGACATGGAATGGGTAAACCGGATATGATTAAGGCGATAAATAAGGAGAGAATGGAAGGTCGTCAGTGTAGACTTACTGCGACTGGTAGGAAGGAAAATGAAGAAAAAAAATCCACCTAAGGTTAGAAGGAAGAAGAAGGCGGATGTAGTGCGTCCTGACGGCCACCCTACTGTGTGGTAGTTGTCTCTTAGTCGAGGTACTACGAGTACTCCTACACCAGAGAGCGCATTGGAGTGATTCCATTGACGAGGATGACGATAATGACGGTGATGCTGAGGTTGGGATTGCCCCAGATGCTGGTGATGCTGCTGGTGATGCTGAGGTTGGGGATGCCCCACCTCAAGCTGATTTAGGCGTGGGGAAGGCGGCGCAGGTCGGGATATCTTCTACTGCCTCCTCACACTTCTGTAGGCTCGATGGACGTTGTGCGTCCAGACCTAGTAGCGAGGAAGGCGGAGATGGAAATAGGAAGAGGAAGACCACGAGGAAAGATATGTCGTGGTTTCTTACATCCGAGTCTCCGATGTGTTCAGGTGGACCAGTGATTCCCGATGTGATCCCTAGCTTTGGAGGTCACATTGGCTTTGTACTGTGGACTTCCCCTCAGCAGGACCGTGGAGTGTTGGACGGCTTCCATAGGCCGAAAGCTGTAGAGACTTTGAGGCGATATAAGTGGAGTGCAGAGGGTTACAAGGAGATGGTTGAAGCCACAGGATTGTCTCACTTGATATATGAGTACTTTCCTGTATTTCGTCCGAGCCAGCTGCCGCAGTCTCTAGATGCACCTTGTGCTTCCTCGTGGATTTCTCCCCGTTTGCCAAGTGGGGATGATGCTAGACATAGGTTAGCACGTTATCGACAGTTGTTGGATGAGCTTTTAGCTGATGATGTGACCTGGACTCCGTACGGACGAGATGGCCACACAGATATACCTCGCTCCTTGTTTACTGGCCCCATTCGCTTTTCTAACAGTGTTGAGGGATACGATCCTGCATGTTGTCTGCGCCAGTTTGGATACCGACAGATTATCCCCCGTGCTATGATGGTACCACATGACCAGTACCGTCCGGCTTCCGGCAACAGTTACATAGTCTTTTGGGATCCGTGGGTGAATCAGTTGTGGGATAACGTGGCAGCCCATCGTCTAGATTTGAATTTTGCTTCTCGGCCGTGCGAGCACCCATCGAAGATCGTGGAGGAGTATGTTGACTGGTTTCTAACTAGATCGCACCCACGGATCACCCACCCCAGCTCTGATGGCGTGCCTCAGCCTCGACCACTACTAGTTCATCAGGTTAGTTATGACTTTCTTTTGCTTTTCCAAATATAAAGGACATTTGTTATTTATTCTAACATTGTTTCCTATTTACAGTTGAGAGAGTAGATTGTGGATCGTTTAGATCCCGTGTTGCTGACGAGGGAACGGAATAAGTGGGACGAGGACGGTGGTAAGTTTTATGATATGGTAGCTGGGGTTCACGAGTTGTACGACCAGTTGAACTGAGACTATTGTGCTTTTTATTTGTCATCGTTTGTAGTTGAACTGAGACTATTGTGTTTTTTTATTTGTCATCGTTTGTAGTTGAACTGAGACTATTGTGTTTTTTATTTGTCATCATTTGTAGTTGAACTGAGACTATTGTGCTTTTTATTTGTCATCGTTTGTAGTTGAAATGAGACGATTGTGTTTTTTTTACTTTAGTTACATTCAATGCATTGCTAAAATAGTTAATCAACATGGTAGATTACTAAATGTTTCAACAATATAGAGTTATACAATTCATAAATATACTTCCAATCGTCATCCCCGTGGGTTCAAACTATCATAAAGCGCACACTCATGTAAGAAGAATTGATCCCACCCATTGACATTAGGGTCATGAAAAATAGGCCAAAGGCCATTAATTGGAGGCATGGGCACTTGACCATGTCGAAAGTCAAGTCGCACCCAATGATCCCCCGTAAAATGTAGTGATAAGATCCCACGTGGTCTTGTTACTCCTGGTGGAGCCGTCACAAGTAGCACGGTATAACGACCGCCTTGACTGTATACAACGATAGCCCATGAATGCAAGGTGGCGAAGACGAAGAGTTCCACATTATCCATCCAGTTGGGAGGTCCACAGCCACTTGTTGATGCCCACCTGCAACGTCGAATGCCATTTTCTATTCCATTTGCTATTCCATCATAGTACTCTCTATAAAGCTCAGGACGGGATTCAAGCTCCTCTACAACAGCGCGTCTCATTTGTGGCCAATTCCTTTGGTCCCCAGTAACTTCTTGTGATATAGCTCGAAATCCACAGTGTCCATCTGGAATAGGGTTGAACCAACCACGAACTAGTCGTTGCACGTAGGATTCCAAACAATGTAGCCATGGGTAATTCTTCCAACTAGTATTGGGAATCCGAGCAACCCTCCACGGGGCACCATCTAGCCAAAGAGCATAACACAATAAATTAATACAAAGAGTTATACAATATGTTTACCTGAAATTAGGAATATAATTTCTAACCTGTATCATTATGGATCACCGGCTCCGTCCCATTCTCGAAGTTGGTTTGTGCATTCCCATTCGGTGCACCATCTAGATGGAGAACATAATAGAATAAATTAATACAAAGAGTTATACTATATGTTTACCCGAAATTAGGAATATAATTTCTAACCTGTATCATTTTGGATCGGCTCCGTCCCATTCTCGAACTTGGTTTGTGCATTCACATTCGGGGCACCACCCATCTCATTTAAAAAAATAGATTAGTTGTACACCATATTGAGGACAATTGAACACAACTAATAGAAAAAGTTAATCTACCTGTATTTCCATCATTGTCCGGAGTTGCAGTCGGAAGTCTTGAACTTCTCCTCACTCGTCTCCTCTCCACATGCTCGAAGTGAGATAGGTTTCGAGTGGTGGATGTCCTTGGGCGACCGGGGCGGGGCTGTCCCCCATGCGGTTCATCAATGCCATCATTTTCAGGATGAAGATGGCTCCGGAGTAGACCTATTGCACCTCGAATGGTCTCGTCACCTTTATCAAGAACCTCCTGTACTAGACCTTGGAAGACACCACGGTGGTAATCACTATGGTCATCCCACTCCGGCCGAGTATGAGGTTCACGATAGTTGATAACGGTCCAGAATGGCAACACCCCATACAAGACGAAATCCCGATTTTCACGTCGTGCTAACTGAATGGAACATCTACATGGGAGACCATAGGTAGGAGGAAACGTACATATACAAGGTTCCCCTTCCACTGCTACCTTGAACAACATCAACCTCGGAGCTTCTAGAGTGACTTTTGTATTCAACTCTCAAAATGGTTTTCCATCCGCTCGGAGCAGCTTCTTTTGTCAAAAATCCTCTAGAAGCTTCCTGATTTGAAGGTGTTGATCCTCAATGTAATCATCGTTCTTCTTGAATACCTACAGACAATGAAGAACAATTAGGAGACTACTAAAACTTATGTGTGTATCAATGAAGATTTATTAGGAGACTAACCGTGTCGACTGCGCCAGCAGATGATTGAAGCCACTTCTTGAAGGAGGAATGGGCAGCTTCAACCCTATTAGAGCTTGTGTTACCCAAATGCGGCACTTGATTGGTATAACATTTAGCCCACATGTGTCTAACTGGTAACCACTCAGCTGCCATATACCCCCAAAGACGTCGGTACTGTACTCCCCAACTACGTCTGAAATTGTCTAAGGCAGTATACATGTCTTCCACTGTCAATGCATATACAGCACGTTGCCAAGACGCCATGATATGATCCACTGTCGGTTTGGCTGCATCTATACCACAATGAGTCGTCCTTCGCACCTCCGCTAGACACTTTGCTCTCACATTCCTATCCATATGCCAAAGACATAATATATGAGTCGATGATGGAAATATTACCCCCATGGTCTCAACCAATCCTCCTGCCTTGTCACTGGCAAACACATCTGGAACAATGGGGCCAAGAAGATGTTGCAAATGCGTCAGAAGCCACTGGTACGACTCATACGTCTCGTCGTACACTATTGCAGATGCAATGACAAAGTTCAATCCCACTGGTGTCATGCCGAGAATCTCAACCCATGGCATATCATACTTATTGGTCTTGTATGTTGCATCTATCACGATCACATGGTTCCAAGCTCGCAACATCACTATTGACTCGGGGTGGGGTAGGAACAAGTGTGTAAGCACATTACGATCGTCCATATACTGCACATAGTAACCCTTCTCCTGCACCACGCGGAAAGTATACTGTAAGGCTGTCATCTGACCAAGCTCTTCTTTCCTTATCTTTTGCAACTCGTTATAAATCTGCTTTCTGTTGTGTATTCCATTTGCACCTTTTCTCTCATTCACTGCCTTGTGGATATTCCTTGGTGGGACACCGACTGATCTCAGCTCTCTGATGTATTGCTTATCCTCTATAGTCAAAACATTCCTTCCCTTTGATCCCTCCGGATATAGCTCCAACTGATGATTGTGGAAACCCAAATTAGCACCAGGATTCTTTGTATTTGCCACCCCTAGGATCAACCAATATCCATCACTGGACCGCTCAAGCTTGATCTGAAACTCGCACCCCAACTTTTCAGTAGATGTAAGAGGCCTCCTTTCCTTACTCGGATTAGGTTCCCTCGGCTTCTTCTTCCTACCATGAATGCAATGTAAGTAATGTCGCCAAGTACCTTCATTCTTATTTTTTTTTGTTCGATGCCCTCACCAAATAAAACCCAAAACCCTTGGCCATCTCAGTAGCTGCTTCATATGCTTGCAACTCCGTAGAATATTTCACGCCATCAATGAAATCCGATGTGTAATCATTGCCATCCGGATTGTAACTTCCAATATCCAGCAATGTTATCAGAATTTATAAGTGATACCCCACAAATTTAAAAAAAACTTAACATTCTATATCATCAATTTAACGAGTACCATATGATAAATTTATAATTTCATAACTATATTAAATTTAATAATCATCATAACTTCATATGCGAATCTATTATTTATGAAATAAATTTAATCTTAATTTGTAATGCAAAATCTAATCTTAATTTGTAGTGCAAAGACCCAATTAAATCTAATCTTAATTTAAGGCCAAATCTAATCTTAATTTCTAATGCTAAATCCTTCAATTCCAAAAATAATTATGCAAATAAATCTAGAAAATTATATAAATAAAAACCCAACAAATTATCTCATGGAAAAAATTATAAATCATATAAAAAATAGAAAATACTTATTTGAAAAAAAAACCCATAAAATGATCAACCGCAACAAACCCATAAAAAACCCATGGCTGAACCGCAAGTGACCTGCGGTTGAACCATTGTCGAACTGCAAGTGATCTGCGGTTGAACCATGGTCGAACCGCAAGTGACCAACGATTCCCATTTTCTGTGTTTTTTTTTATTTTTTTAGTAAATGTTTTTACCTCGTCGGAGTCGCTACTCATGATTCAGACGTCCTACCGACGATATCGGCTTCAAAATGACGATGATGAATTTTTCTCTCCTTAGATAGTGTTTTTTTAGTCCAAGTGATGTTTGTTTGCTAAAGTGATCAAGGTAAAGAAGCTAAGGGGGTTAAAAGTGTAACTTTTATACTTTTTAGAGCGACCTTTAGCAATTTTAAGGGCGACCTTTAGCAACTCCCTTTCTTTATGGTGAAATTATTTTAAAAGTTATAAAAATATTAATAAAATATTGTTGATCTAACCCAATTAAACTAAACAAACCAACCGAAAACCCTAACCCTGATCCTATAGCCACCCACCCGGAATCTTGATCCACCGTAGATGGCCTTCCCTCTTTGCATCGCCAGTCTAGAAATTCCCCACTGCCGAACGCCACCGCAGGTCGCATCTCCGAGTGGCTTCTTCGCCAATTATTGGACGCAAGCGATAGGGAGAGATGGGAAACATTGGGAGATACTTTGGGTTCCAACAATTGGGAAGTGGGTACCTTTCAATTTGAATCCAATTATATTAGATATGGAACTGATATTTTGGGAACAGTTAGTGATGATGGTGGTGGTGAATCAGTTGGGATTTTTGTGACTACGGGAGGGAATCGGTGACAGTGACTTTATTTTACTTCCTTGTATCTCTCTTGCTACCGTTGAATGCTGAATGTGAATTGGAGACGCCGGCGACTCAGATAGCACCGCCAGGAACACCTCAATCCCTATCTCTACCTTTGATTTCGTCTACCAGCCAACGTAAAGGCTCAATTTCCTTATTATCTGTGAGTCACTACCAAAAGCTTCTCAAGGCATGTCATGGGGAAATAATCCGGATCACGATCGACGATTTTGTTCACG